TCCAGCATTGAACTGACTCAGAGCCCCTGAGCATGGGTCTCAGAAGACCTGGGCAGTCTAAGGGACTTCAGACAGTGGAACCAGGATGTATCCCTGGTGCACAAAAGGACTTTGGGAACACATTCCCCATGGAGGAATACTCCCTTAGCCTAGAGGCAGGAGGGTAGGCCTAGACCTTACTCCAAATGACTTGACAGATTTTGTTGATCCCTCCTAGAAGGCTTCACCCTCCCTGCGAAGTGGAGGTGGGGTGGCAGGGGGGTCAGGAGGGGAAACTGGGATCGATATGTAAAATAAGAAAAAATAGTTTTAAAAAAAAAGGTATACAAGCATGTATCTGTATGATCTCATTTATGTATGAATATGTGTCTATGTATGTATTATGTGTCTTGGTTAAGGTTTCTATTGCTGTGACAAAACACCATGACCCAAAAGCAAGTTATGGAGGAATGAGCTTACTTGGCTTACACTTCCAGATTCATAGGTCAGCACAGGAACTCAAGCAGGGCTGGGACCTGGAGGCAGGAACGGATGCAGAGGCCATGGAGGGTGCTGCTTACCATGACTTGCTCAGCCCGCTTTCTTATAGAACCCAGGACCACCAGCCCAGGGATGGGCCCTCCCCCACTGATCACTAATTGAGACAATGTCTTCACTGGACCTCATGGAGGCATTTCCTCAACTGAGGCTCTTCCTCTGTGATGACTGTAGCTTGTGTCAAGCTGACACACAAAACCAGGCAGCACAATAAGTACAGGTACAGGGGTGTGTGTATGTATACATGTATGTGCGTGTGTGTATGTATACATATATATGCATGCATGTATGTATGTACATGTGTATGTATATGTTGCAGTGCTTTGAATGAATGTGTCCCACAGTTGGCGGTATAGTTTGTGGATATTTACGCTCTGTTGAAGATGTATGTCACTGGGAGTGGCCTTTGGGTGTTTACCGTCTCATTCCACATCCAGTTCATGCTCTCTGCTTCGTGCTTACAGTGGGGGTTTGGGGGGTTGGGGGGGTTGGGGGGAGCTCGCAGCTTCCTCTCCTCTGCATGCCTGCTGCTTGTTGCCAGGCTCCCTGCCATGATGGACTCTCACCCCTCTGGGACCATGAGTCACACCAACTCTCTTCCTTAAGGTGCCTTGGCCATGATGTTTTATGGCAGCAACAGAAAAGTAACTAATACCAGAGTGTGTGTACACACACACACACACACACACACACAATATCACATGTATGATATGTGTGTGCATCAGTTTTTTGGGCCTCACTAGCCAAAGGTAAGACAATTTAGCATTGGTTTAGTAAGTACAGTAATAAATTATAAACCTCATATTGCTAGAAGGGAGGGAAGGAGGGAGATGTGTGTCTCCTCACAGGTGGCTCACAGGTTGCAGAGGAAATTAATCGGCTCTACAATGGGTCTCTTCTGTCTGCCTCCTGTTAACTAAATCACATCAACAACAATTTCAATAATCTTCATGCCAAAGCCTGCTCACCTACGATGGTTCTACATGCTAACTCCTCAGTGTGGAACATTGACAACCCTGGCAATCCCTTGTCGCCCCAAACATAGTGTAAAGGACCCAAGCAAACCCCAGGAGTGTTAAGTCTACTGAAAATTGAATGTGGCATGAGGCGAGGCCGTTACCTGAGCGCACTATAGCAGGGTGAAGATGCTCATGCAAGGCCATGTTCCCGATGATCCTCATGACGTTTCTCTGTACTTTGGGGCAGTCCTTGTGAAGCTGGTAGAGCCTCTGCAGTAGCTGCAATCCCCCGCCTGCTTCAATGTGGTCACAGTGTGAGGGGATCTAGCACAGGTTAACAGAGCTCCCGTTACACTGCACTGTTCACACCTCAAAGGGTGAGTTCCCACGTCCCGCCCTGTGCTGCAATGCTGAAGTCCCTTCCTCCCGACTAGTTTCCATTCCACAGGAGGGAATCAAAGATGACTAAATACAGCCGTGCATTTCCATCTGTCCAATGTTCTCAGGCTACTGTGGCGAGCTCGGAACCTGGAGGAGAGCGCTTCTGCAGATGTGGATGAGGGTGCCAGTGGCAAATGCAAATCCCGGCACTCCACACCAGATCCGCTTAGTTCAAACACCATGGGCAACGGGACACTGTGCCTAGCATGTTTCCCAGGTGATGCTCATACTTCACTTGTGGGTACCACTAGGCATTTACTACCCTCCCCTTTTAAATCCAACTATAGCTGGGCATGGCTGCACACAGCTACACAGGGATACATAGCAAGATCCTGTCTAACAAATAAGCAAACTGTGACAACCATGATGCCAAATGCCTAGTAATTACCAGTACCTTATAACTTAGCTGCACAGCAATCTAATATTTCCCTCTCCTCTCCGACTAATAAGGAAACTAACTATCTGATGCTGTGTAAAACAATCTGGGCAAAGAGTAAGACAGCACAAATCAATCTAACGTGACAAATGCTGCTTCCTTTATATGTAATTAAGAATTGTTTAAAATATGTAATAAGGGACTAGAGAGATGGCTCAGTGGTTAAGAGCACTAGCTACTATGCCTACAGAGGACCCAGGTTCAATTCCCAGCACCTATGTGGTGGCTCATCATTGTAAGTCCAGGGGATCCAATGCCCTTTTCTGACCTCCAAGGGCATCAGGCATGCACATAGTCCACAGACAAAACATCCATACACAAAATTAATATAATAAAAATTTTTAAGAATTAAATATGTAATAAAAATGAAAGTCATGTATTGGTCTAAATCATTCTTATTAATATGTTGGTCTAAATCATTCTTATTAATTCTAACAGTTAAAAGTGGAACTTTTGTTTTGTTTTTCAAGACAGGATTTCTCTGTGGCTTTGGAGCTTGTCCTAGAACTCGCTCTGTAGACCAGGCTGGTCTCCAACTCACAGAGATCCTGCCTCTGCCTCCCAGGCGCTGGGATTAAAGGCTTGCACCACCACCACCTGGCTAAAAGTGGAATTTAAAAAGTATAATATTCTTATTAACTCTTTAAGAATTTCATACCTGCACACAATGTATTTTGATCATATTCACTGCTTTATTCCTCCCCTAACTCCTCCAAGATCCTCTCCCCTCTCCTAAATCTGTGTCCAAGTAACTATGGAAAGCCATATTTTGGAATGCAAGTTACCTCTGAATGCTTTACTATAGCTTCTAGGCAGAACATTTCCACTGTGGCTGAGGGAACTTCGCCAAAGCTTTCCGCATACGGAAGTCCATTTCCTCCAAAGCACCACAGTCCTCCCTGAAGTTAAGACAAAGTATTTACATCTGTGTAATAGATACAAATTAGGGGTTTCAAATATGTACATATCTCAAGATACTTTGGAAGCTTAGAGGGAATGTTATGCAAATTTCTATTGCTTATTGACTAGAAAACACATCAGGCAATTTTGACAACTTTTCCTATGTTTATTCCTGTCCTCTCCTTACAAAGTCAATTCTTTATCCAATTCAAAGTGTTCTGGAATCATTTCCTTCAGCACTTACTAATTCATACAGATTATGGTAGCAGAGTCAACTAAAAACCTAATAATAATAAATGTTTAATGGAAAAGCATTAGCAAATAAAAATATTAAAGATATGGTGGCTTTTAATTCTTCCTAACTGTAAGTAAGTTCACGTGAGAGACTACGTGTAGCTATGTGTAGCTCCGGGGCTGAGGAGACTGCTCAGCACCCACATAAAAAACCAGGTAGGGAGTGCCCATCTGTTAGCGCAGTTCTGGGTCTGGGAGGGAAAGCATGCCCTGATCCCTGCAGCCCGCTAGCCTGCCAGTCCAGCTGAACTGGCAAGCTTCAGATTCAGCGAGACATTGTCTCAAAAATTAAGGTGGAAAGAAATAGCCAGAGATCCCCGATACTGACTGACCCCTGTATACGCACGCATGCACGCACGCACGCACGCACGCGCGCATCCAGCAGCATCGTGTGCTCACAAGCAGCACGGTCCACAGACAGATGAGACTGTAGCCCAGCTTTGCCCTCTGACCTGTGTGAAGAACTCCACAGCTTTCACAGCCTTTGCCACTGGACAGGCTTTGTGTCCTGCAACTGTCTCCTCTGCTACCCTTGGCTCTGACCTGAAGGCAACCATGTTGGTAAATAGTCTATGTTGTAAACAGTTGTATGCCTCCAACATACAACATACAGGGCTTCGTTTGCCATGTAGAGGAAGCCTCTGGACAGCTTTAGGCGGCACAGGGTACCCTGAGGAAGATGAGCTGAAACCTCAGGCTTCTGGGGAAAATGTCTAAGATGTTTCAAATGCTGCCAGACACAGACAAGCTCTAAGGGGGGAAAAAAGGAAGAGAAACCTTGGTGCTGGAACTGAGACAGCACAGAGCCCAAGAGGTGAGCGAGGGTGAAGGCCAACTAAGCCCTCGACAGAGCTCAGTGCAGACCCAGCCTTCTTCGGTCTTTCTGGGGGGTTACGTCTGAGACTTCCACAGGAAGCAAGGGCTGGAAATGCCCTTCTGGGAGGGTGTGGGAGAAGGAAAGGGCCAGGAAGTGTTACAGAGAGGACAGACTGGAGTTGGTGGAGCTGGAAGAAGACTCCTACAGGCAGCCTGCACCCTGCACTCTGCTTCGTGTAAGACACTGGCCCCGCCTTCAGTGCGAAACCTCAATTTAAAACTAACAAAACGTCGTAGACAGCAGACTGTCGGGCCCATCATGGTCCCTGAGCAGAGGGTCTGGGTACCAGGAGGCCAAGTGACAGATGTTCAGGAAGCCCGTCTGTGGCTAAATGTTCTTAAAGCTACAGACAGGCACCAGGGCATCTACCCACACGGCATCTGGGCACTGACTAACCGTAGGGATAAATTCTGTAAAGGGGAGAGCTTATCAACCATGATGTACAAGGGAAGAAGGTCATCTTGCCCCATGAATATGCCACCAACCTTATGAATCATAGAAACTTTTTAAAATCCACAACAGAGCCCACTGCGCTATGATTGCCTCTGCCCATTCCTGCCACACACAGACTTTTGTGTCACTCCACAGGATTCCTTCCTTCAACAGGGAAAACACCCAGAGACCTTCAGGAGGAGAGACCCTGCTGTGTGGGGACAAATCTATCATCCATGGTGCCTGGAGCTCCCTAGAAAACAGTTTCTACAAGAGTGAGTCTGCAATCCAAAGCCACAACCAAGGAAAGACACAGTGGCAAGGAGAGCCGACGCCAGCGCCACCAGAATCAGCAGCCTAAAAGGGGAGACACTAGAATCTGGAAGAGATCTTAAAACCACCGAGGAAGTGAAAGGAGAAACAGAAGCCAACGCCACAGAGAAGGTGTGTAAGAGCAGGTAGCTGTAGAAAGTCGGGGTGAACAGACTCAACCAGTGTCCCACGGCAACACAGCCAGCAGCTGCTGACAGCTGTACACGTGAAGGACTGAGCGGGAGAGGGAGGGGGAGCGGGATCGCCAGGCTGCAACTTAAGCAACTGAGATAAAAGAGCAGAGGGTAAGGGCTGTATCAGAGGAGGGCAGGTTTGATGGGCTAAGCTCAAGGTTCTTGTGATACTCCACGGAGAGGAGGCTGGATAATCAACCCTAGAGTTCAGGTTAGAACACAACTCAAATGCTGAGACTCAAACCCACGTCTAGAGCACGCCTGGCAAGCACTGTCACTGAGCTGTACCCCAGTCCAGACTATGGATTCTGAAGGTGCACTACCACAGGTCGCTCCTACAAAACAAGGACTCCTGTAACCCGAATCTTTCTTATACGCCTGTATGTTTATCATTCTGAGAATCCCGGCACCGCGCAGCCCAGTGCACAGCAGAGTCCACAGTGGGGCAAATGACTGAGGTTCTAGACGCTAGCCCCAGCACAGTGTCCTGGAGAAGGATGAGCACGCAAGCCATTTGCTGAAAAAGATATAAACCAACCTTCTGCGCAGCCAGGCTCTGGCTGCTCTCACTAAGAGCCAAGGATGTAAAATACTGGAGACATTCATCAAGCTCGGTCTGAGGTAGAGAAGCCAGCAAATGTCTGAGTTCCTCTTCAGTGGAGGAATCCTGAAATGAAAGGCAAAGACAGTCTTCAGACACAAGCCTGGCAACTGAGGGTACCAAAAAACACCCAACGAGTCAGAGTCAAGACAGACAAACAGTAAGTACAGGAAGGACAATGGTTGCAATCTGAAGAGCACTCAGTGGAAATACATAATCATTTATTTGGGTTCTACACTGTTGTGCAGACCTATTACAAGGGCTGGAAAGATGGCTTGATAATTCAGAACACTAGCTACTTTTGCAGAGAATTTGGGTTTGGTTCTGGCACCCACATGATGCCTTAACACCACCCAAACACTCCAGTTCGGGAGCCTGGGTGCCCTCTTCGGCCTCTAAGGACACCTAGCATACATGTAGTGTATGCACACACATGCAGGCCCCACACATACATATAAAATGAAATCTTAAAAAATAAACAGAAAAAGGGACTGTTACAAATTATAACTCAATTTTTACCTAGGGACTTCTTCATATCTTGACTCAAAATGAGCTACACCTTAATAATTAAAGATATCACTAAGCCTAGAGTTTGTTAATGTTTCTTTTTTCGTGATAATTATATATTCACTTTTCTATTTTTCAAATGACTGTTTACATCAAAGTTGCCGTTTTGCTTCATTATCTAAGGGAAATGTTCAACACACCTACAGGTTCTGGCCATGGTTCTCACCACGGGTATTTTCTTTAAAATTTTGTATGTGCATTGGTGCTTTGCCTACATGTGTGTCTATGTGAGGGTACTGGATCCCCCGGAACTAGAGTTACAGACAACCGCAAGCTGCCATGTGGGTGCTGGGAATTGAACTCAGGGCCTCTGGAAGAGCAGCCAGTGCTCTTAACCAACCCCTGAGCCATCTCTCCTGCCCCACCAGGGGTATTTTTAATCCCCAAGACATATTTAGCAACATCTGGAGACCATTTTCTTTGTTACAACCTGGGGGGGGGGGCTACTTGGGTCTTAGGAGCAGAGTCCAGGAACACTGATAAATACCCTTCAGTACACAGAACAGCCTCCTCCAATAAAAGTCATTTGATGGAAGATGTCAAGAGTGCTCAAGATGAGAAATATCCCATCTATGAAACAACAAGGCGGACCAGAGAGATGACTTGGCAGTTAAGAGCACACATTGCTTTTGCAGAGGACCCTAGCTTGGTTCCCAGCATTCATGTTTGGTGGTTTACAAGCACCTGTCACTCCAGCTCCTGGGGATCTGCGGCTCTCGCCTGACCTCCCTAGACACTTGTACGCACACACACATAGTTACACATAAAATAACTCTTACAACAACACAATCCCAACACTCAGGAGGCAGAGGCAGGTGGCCTGGTGTACAGAGAGAGAAGAGAGTTCCAGGACAGCCAGTGCAACAACAACAACAACAAAAACTTACTCCGAGGCACCCTCTCTTGGGTGCTGAGCTGACATCTTGTAGAGTTCACCCTCTCTTGGGTGCTGAGCTGACATCTTGTAGAGTTACCTAGCAGGACAGACTCTCAACCCACAAAGGCAGAAACCGGCAGAGGAACAGCCGCTTGTGAGGGTCCCCGCCCTGTGGAAACTACGATTCCAGCTCTGCATCCAGCTCACCTGTCCTTCCCAATCAGGCACCAGCAGCTCTATTTATTTGCACCCACACTAGAAACACACACTCAGCCTTTTCGCTCCCTAGATTACCACGCTCACTTACTTCTTTTAAAGAGGGCAGAGGAGGCGGCGGGAGAAAAAAGCGACAGTCACTCTGTTTGCTTCGTGCCAAACCAATAAGGGTCCTTGAGTCACAGGCTTGAGCAATTATCCTGTACTGGTAGTCTGTTGTGAAAACATAGTTTTTGTTAACATCAAGACTAACTCAAAGTTATCACAACTAAAAAATTACTCGAAAGAAAGTACCACAATCCTTAAATTGCTCTACAACTTTGCACCCCCAAATTTCCAAAGTATTTTTCACAACTCAGATGTGCCTACAGTACCTGGAAGCTTGACACCCAACATGGCTCAGTCACCACCACCCACACACCTGGGGAGGTCAATGCCCAGCTGGCTAGGATACCATCAATCACACAATTCTCCTCAACACTCCAGGTCATGCTCTGAGTAACTTTTTAAAATATCTCTAGGACAGGGACTGGAGAGATGGCTCAGGGGTTAAGAGCACTGGCTGATCTTCCAGAAGTCCCGAGTTCAATTCCCAGCAACCACATGGTGGCTCACAACCATCTGTAATGAGATCTGGCGCCCTGTCTTGGCATACAGGCATGCAGGTAGGCAGGCATAACACTGCATAGTTAACCACGTAAATTTTTAAAAATCAGAAGTCCAAACATGCAAACTGGTAACTCAGAATCAGGGGTGTCTCCCAGTGAAGCAGTATAACCTTGTTCTGGTGGGACACGCCTCAGTTTGAGAGATGCCCTTACTACACACTCCTGGACTGCCAGAGCAGACTCTTTGCCTTCCCTAACCTCATTCCCCATCTCTCTGGTAGCGGAAAGCGAGAGCTGGCTAACCCATGGCCCGGGTCCTCATTACCGTGCCAGTGGTGGGCCTCTGACAGCTCCTGCACAGCCTGCAGTCGCGAAGCTTTATCGTCCTCCCCGCTCTTCCTCAGCAGCAGCCACACCGTACAATCATGGTCTTCTATGTCAACTGTGCTGAAAGAGTCTTTGCAGAGCGAACACGACAGACACAAAAGACATGGCGGTATAAGCAGTTAAGGTGACGTTTGTACGCCTGTGTGGTGTAAACACGCTGCACATTTCTATGTGGACACTACATGCATCTAATAGTCCCGAATGGGAACTGAAGCAGCTCGCCACGCCTGCTGGGCTGTTTGGCCAGTAGGCCCCATGATCCTCCTGTCTCTGCCTCCCAAGGGCCGCGACCACAGGCGTGCGCTTCAGCTACTGCCCTTTGCGGAGGTTCTGGGTTAGGACGCTCACACATGGAGGGCAGGCAATGCATTGACGGAGCCATCCTCCCAGCGTTAAAGGCAGATACAGATGACCAACTGTTGGATCTTGGCTCTGTCATATTATTTTTTCATATTTGCTATAAGTATTATGTGCATACTTTTAGTATTCAATGTTATCTTTCATGTGGCCATTTTTAGTCTTGGGTTGGCTGTCCACACAACTTCCAGACCAGTGATGAGGACTCGAGTGTCTACACGTACCAGCCTAATGATGAGGATTCGTGTCTACACGTACCAGCAAACGGGCTCCGCAGTACCCTGGCTGATGCTGCCAACACTTTCCTTACTGCTTTGTGAAGCTCTTTTCTTGCCTGCCAAACAAGCCCTAAAATGACGGCAGCAAGTAAGACCAAGGCGCACTTTTTTAACATCACACCCCAATACTTCAAAAAGAAACGCATAAACCAGGCTCCAAAGTTAATCACAAAGAGCATAAAACAAAAACCTCTGACCTCTTAGTGTCACTATTAGGTGCAAAGTATTTAATAAGGGAGCTCAGAACGCTCTGGGCTCCAGAGTAAGGTCAAGGAGAAAGTAAAAAGACAGTGAGAACAGAAACCACAGAAACCCTCCCGAGTAACAGGAGCTGACCAATATTCACAAGAACATTCCTTGTACGTAGCTGACCTAGAACTGACCTTGGAAAATGCTTTAAGAATGAGGTTGAGCCTGGCCAGACAGGTAAATTATAAGAGGTGGTAACAGTCTACACATCGGAAACTCTAAGTAGCCCCAATGGATGCTGAAGGCCAGGGAGGCAAGGGGATTCAGAATGGCAAGGGAGCCCATCCCATGCTGGGGCTGTAGCCTGCTCAAGGGCACAGGAGGACTGACATCTAGGACGGACAGCCGCAAGGCAGGGTGGGTAGGTGGGGGTCAGCGGGCTGTCCAATGCTAAGGAAAAGACTCCTCTGAGCTAAAATCTCACATCTACCAAGTAACCAAGAGGCCTGCCTGCAAGCGACCTCAACATTGAGAAGGGATGCCCTAACTAGCATCGACAGACTCCCCAGCCTTTGGAACAGATGGCAGCAATAAATAAGATGAATTCATATTTCGCAATCTGTCAAATGAGTTCAACAGCATGAGTGACCCCTATAGCACGATGGTCTCTGAGCTAATTGACAACACGAGCATTTGCAACTTGTCAAACTGAACTGATCCTCCCCCCTCCCCCCTCCCCCCGTCTCCCTCCCCCAAAGAAGGAACTCAGGGTCAGACACAGGGCTCTGGCCAGCTCTTACTTAGTTCTAAAGGAGCTGAAGACTTTGGAAAACACAGAAGCCCCAAATCTGGTCATCCGTTAATGCTTGGTGTGGAGGCTTGAGTAAGAGCGGCCCAGAGGCTCATATATATATCTGAATGCTTAGTCACCAGGGTATGGAACTGCTTGGTAGGGTTAGAAGAATTAGGAGGAAGTGTGTCACTGGAGTGGGCTTTGAGGTGTCAAAAGCCATGCCAGACCCAGTCTCTCCACCTGTCTATGGACCGGGACGTAGCTCTTGGCTACCGCTCCAGTACCCGCCTGCACACCGCCATGCTCCCTGCCACAATGATAATGGACTAAACTTCTGAGCCTGTAAGCCCCGAGTTAGATGCTTCCTTTTGTAAGTGCTGTCTTGGACATGGTCCGTCTTCGCAGCAATACAACAGTAACTAAGACACTTAGGAGCCTGTCTCACATGAGCTCTGCAGACTCTTCCAGAAGGCTGAGCCTACCCTGCCAGACCCATTTCTATAGTCAGTAACTGGTTCTGTTTTAGAAAGATGAGCTAGCTCACCACGGGACTTACCATGACTTTCTGCCTTGTCTGCAGGGACTGTGTGCACATAGATGTAAGACTTCATTTTCTCCCGTTCCACCACCTGCGTGTCCAACGTTACAGACTTCTTCAGGGCCAGAACTTCGTACGTAAGAAACAAAGACCCCCTAAGAAAAACAAAGTTCCTGTGAAGCAGGGTCTGAACAGGACCCACAAGCTCTTCATGGTGACTCTTTTCCACATTTCTAGGAAACAGCTTACAGTAACACACGTGTTATTTTACACGTGTGTACACATTCATCTCAGTTTAAAGCAACAGCAAGTGGCTGCATGATTACATCCAAGGAAGAAACAGAAGATTAGCAGCGCCCGAAGCCCACAGTACTCTGTCATTCTTAGGTGGCTGATCCACAGCAATAACCAAACCATCCTTGCTTTCCATCATGTCCGCTATCTCTCATCTGCTGTGTGCACACCCTTGAACAACAGTGTTCTGTTTGGCTTCATGGGAATGGACTAGGCTAGATGTGTTCTTTCGTTCGGCCTTATGTATGTATGAGTCATCCACACCCTTGTCTGTACATGCAGTTCCCTCACAACATAAATACCACAACTGATTTACCCACTGTCCTGCAAATGGACACTTACAGCATTTTTAGTTTAAATCTACTACATGTGACGCCACTGCACTTTTTACAAATATGTACACATGTGTTCCTCTACAAATGCATGCTCACCCTCTGACATTCCGTATCTGTGGATACTCCATGCTAACAGTCACTTTGTTAAGATTTCCAACTGTGCTATCATGAAGCCAGAACTATTCACTGGTACTTACCCTAAAATGAGAGATCCGGTGAGTCTTATTATATTCCCTTCAAAAAGAAAGAAAGAGGAAAAATCATCATCATCTCATTTTTGAAAGTATGACAAGAAACAGGCAACAGTGTGAACCTTTTGTGTGTAACTGGGCCAAAAGTTAAATTTTTGTTACAGGTAATCTATTGTCCCGATCTCTCGAAGACCTTTATCGTGAAGGGTGTTGGATTTTGTCAAGGGTTTTTTCAGCATCTAGGGAGATGACCATGTGGTTTCTCTTTTTCAGTTTGTTTATATGATGGATCACATTGATGGATTTTTGTTGATCCATCCTGCATCCCTGGGATGAAGCCTACTTGATCATGGTGGATGATTTCTCTGATGTGTTCTTGGATTCATTTGCCAGTATTTTATTGAGTATTTTTGCATCAATGTTCATGAGGGATATTGGTCTGTAGTTTTCTTTCTTAGTTGTGTCTTTTTGTGGCTTGGGTACCAAGGTGATGGTAGCCTCATGAAAAAGAGTTTGGCAATGACCCTTCTGCTTCTATTGTATGGAACAATTTGAGAAGTATTGGTTATTACTCTTCTTTGAATTTCTGGTAGAATTCTGCACAGAAACCATCTGGCCCTGAGCTTTATTTGGCTGGGAGACTTTTGATGACTGCTTCTATTTCATTAGGGGTTACTGGTCTATTTAAATTGCTTATCTGTTCTTGATTTAATTTCGGTGAGTGGTATCTATTCAGAAAATTGTCATTTCCCACAAATTTTCCAATTTTGTGGAAACATGACCTGATGATTCTCTGGTAATCTGGTACATCGATTTTATATTTATTAGCAGGCACTATGTATGATACATGGAGGCACCAAGTGCAACCTCTGGTTTGTACCTATGGCTCCCACATTCACCCCTCAAGCTCCCCTTGTACAACCCCAAACCAAGTCACAAGCAGTACCTGCCCTACTGTTGTACAGCCAGGGTCACAGACTTCCACCGGGTGTGACCAGTAGGAGGGTCTGCTGCTGGGGACAAGGTGGGTTCACCAAGTGTCCCAGCCTCTACGGAGGGACTGTCTGTCAAGTGGAAACATTAAAACGACTTTTCCCTCAAACACACACAGTGTGCTTGGTGGCTTAAGCGCCAGAGATCACATGGCCCCATTTAAAATATAGGCAGCAAGAGTATAAACTGTGGAAATGTTTTAAATATGTGTAAGTCAAATCTTATTGGCAGACAGCTGCTTTCTCGATACACAACCATTCCAAAATATTCACATCCTAGACCGCTGGGCAGGAGGGTTGGCCACGCATGACACTGAAGTCAGACACACGTGGAGATCTAGAGGCACTACCCACAAACTCATGGGCCTTCACGGCAGGTCAAGAACGGGGATGAGAAGGGCTGCAGGGGTTAGACACGGAGCTTCCTGACTGTGCGACTCTCTGGGACAGTTCTGACTCCAAGATGGCCTCCTGGTGTCCTCCTGTGCTGCTCACCATGGAGACTCAGGGAGTAGCCAGTATTCTCTGCTCTAATGCTACCACCAGTGGCTTCTTACAGGCTTTGAGTGTCCCTGTCAACGCCGGGCGTCACACACAAGGTCTTGTGCGTGTTGGACACACGCTCTTCCCCTAGAACGTTCACTTTCAGTCTTCATGGCCACCCTCCCCTTTCTCCTTCACTGGAGGTAACACAACACTCGGGAGAAGGAAAGTCAAAGCTTGCTTTTCTGTTCCTGCTTCTTTCCATATTTCTATTCAGAATCACAAGTCCCTAGATTTGAAACACCTACTGACTGCAAAACAGGTGTGTGTGTGTGTGTGTCCATGCATTGTGCACAGAGAACATCTATCCTTCTCTACGCTTTTGCTGTATTCCTCTGAGACAGAACCTCTCACAGAACCTGCAGTTGGCTGGCAGCAAGAATCCCCAGTGATCTTACCTCTGCCCCATACTCCCCAGGGCTGGAGTTCCGGGTGCATGTATTACACCAGTATTTACTTGTGTGGGTCCTGGGGATTTGAAATCGGGTCCTCATGCTTGCACAGCAACCATTCCTATCCCCTGAACCATCTTGCCAGCCCAACAGTTATTTTTTTGTTTAGCTCTGTTGTGGAGATGGGGTCTGACTGTGTAATTTGGCTGCCCTGTTGTCCGTGTTTGGGGCTGGCCCTAAACTCACATAACTCCATCTGCCTTTCTCTCCTGAAAGCTTCACAGGAAACAGCTTAAGGACAAGAACTACATCTTATTCAACACTGTCACCTCAGGGCAGAAAACAGCAGCAGGTGCACCACAGACGGTCAATAAATGCTTGTTGTCAAATAAAGGAAGGATGAGCAAGGTCAGCCTGGTTTGTGGTCACCTTTATTGCTTTGGATCACAAGCCCCCACATAACAACAGGGAGACTTAATATTAATCTTAATATTAATCATGAAAGCTTGCCCACTAGCTTCGGCTTCTCCCCCTAGCTCTCATAACTTAAACTAACCTGCTTTAGATTTACGTTCTGCCACGCAGCTCAGTTGCCTCTACTCTATACCGTATGTCTGACCTCTTTAGCATCTCCCTGGCATCTCCGTGTGCCCAGAAGACCCACCTATCCTCTCCTGCCTCGCTATTGGTCATTAAGCTCTTTATTAAACGAAATGGAAGGCACCTTGGCAAAGACATCTCTTCACAGTGTACATAGCTATTCTGCATTTGTTATACAAATAAAAGAATCAGTGCCCAGGGGAGGTGTGTGATTTCATCCTTCTATTCAACACACACTGCTGGAACACCTCCTGCATGCCACAGATGACAATATGCAATGGGACAGAATAATGAACAAGACACTGCCCTCTGAGTTTAGACTACAGGAGAAGGCAGATAATTGGCCAAGTTCCATACCAACTACTAAATGGCAAATGGTGGTTCTACCCTGGCCGAAGGTGCCAGGCAACACTGTAGGCTGGATCAGAGCAGACCCCACGCCTCCAAAAAGCAAGGGGAGTGTTCTCCTGGCTCGGCCTTGAATCCCCAGAACCTGGTCGTGGTCCCCAGCTCTGCAAGGGATTCCTGAGCAAGTTGGAAGAGTGAGCATGAATTGACAGGACAGATGAGGGGAGAAAGAATCCTGAGGGAAAAGGATCTTGCATGGCTCTGGGCTTACAAATTTAGTGTGAACCATAGCACAGAAGACATAAGCCAACGAGAGATTCAGAATAAATAGGCTGTCAGCTTTGTAAAGCACTCCAGGGAAGTGGTCACAATCTCATCACTAGTTCTACTAGAAAATGGCATTATTTGAACTGAACTCACGGATATTTCTCCAGGGTGTGTGACTTCTTAAACGGGGAGTAAAGATTCCTATTCTTCTGCAACAGATGACACAGTAGGCGCCAAGGGACATCCTGTGTAGGAAAATTCAAGTTATTAAGCAGAACCCTAACATGGACATTTAATGGTTTTCAATGTCCTTTAAAGAGCAGAAACACATAAAGAGCATGTCTGCTCTTGCTAAGTAAGGTTCGACTGTCATGCAGAGAAGCAACAAGTGCCAGCCAAGATGCAGCACTAACTGCCAGGCAAGCGAGGCTGCTCTCGTCTAGCAGCCCTGACTGACCCAATGGATCAGTGATAAGGAATAAATGGGGGTTTGGGACATTAGGTCTTGGGATGGTACATGATGCTGCAACATGCACACGGCTTGTAAATATCCCTTTACATTTTATAAACGTTCTCTACACAGCACTGGATGGCTGTCCTGGAACTTACCGTGTAGCCCAGGCTGGCCTCAAATCACAACCATCCACCTGCCTCTGACTCCTGACCACTTTTTATAACACAGCCACTGTGTTGGAACTTTATTTCTGGGAGTTCGGGCTGCCCAGCCCTGTGGTGGTCTCACCCCGCTTTTATCATCTTTGATCAAGAGCTCACATATGTGGGGCAGTTTCCTGTGAGTCCTGTGCGCTCTGATTTCCAGTGAGTGTGAAATACCTCTACAGACAATCTCAGATACATCCAATAGATGGACTCAAGGGCTGGACTTAAGAGTTATCCTTTCAAGACTCTAGAGATGGTTCAGCCAGTAATATGCTTGTAAGAAAAACTTGAGGCCCTGAGTTTGGAGGCATATTACACTCCCGGGGATACGAACAAAGCACAGTGGATACGATGCCAGACTGTGCCTATGACCCCAGCGCTGTGCCCATGACCCCAGAGCTGTGCCCATGACCCCAGCACTGTGCCCATGACCCCAGCACTGTCCCTATGACCCCAGCGCTGTGCCCATGACCCCAGCGCTGTGCCCATGACCCCAGCGCTGTGCCCATGACCCCAGCGCTGTGCCCATGACCCCAGCGCTGTGCCCATGACCCCAGCGCTGTGCCCATGACCCCAGCGCTGTGCCCATGACCCCAGCGCTGTGCCCATGACCCCAGCGCTGTGCCCATGACCCCAGCGCTGTGCCCATGACCCCAGCACTGTCCCTATGACCCCAGCACTGTGCCCTATGACCCCAGCACTGTGCCCATGACCCCAGCACTGTGCCCATGACCCCAGCGCTGTCCCTATGACCCCAGAACTGTCCCTATGACCCCAGCACTGTGCCCATGACCCCAGAGCTGTGCCCATGACCCCAGCGCTGTGCCCATGACCCCAGCACTGTCCCTATAACCCCAGCACTGTCCCTATGACCCCAGCACTGTGCCCATGACCCCAGAGCTGTGCCCATGACCCCAGCGCTGTGCCCATGACCCCAGCACTGTCCCTATAACCCCAGCACTGTGCCCATGACCCCAGCGCTGTGCCCATGACCCCAGAGCTGTGCCCATGACCCCAGCACTGTGCCCATGACCCCAGCGCTGTGCCCATGACCCCAGCACTGTGCCCATGACCCCAGCACTGTGCCCATGACCCCAGCACTGTGCCCATGACCCCAGAGCTGTGCCCATGACCCCAGCACTGTCCCTATGACCCCAGAGCTGTGCCCATGACCCCAGCGCTGTCCCTATGACCCCAGAGCTGTGCCCATGACCCCAGCGCTGTGCCCATGACCCCAGCACTGTGCCCATGACCCCAGCACTGTGCCCATGACCCCAGCACTGTGCCCATGACCCCAGCGCTGTGCCTATGGGCCCGGGACTGAGGATATGACGCCAGCACTGTAGATGTAATCCCAGCACTGATCAAACGATCCCAGCACTGATCAAACGATCCCAGCACTGTGCCCAGATGTTGCCTATGATCCCAGCACACTGTCTGAGATCCCAGCACGGTGCCTATGATCCCACACTGGGCCTATGATCCCTGCACTGTAGATAAACACCCAGCCTGTGGATATGATCCCAGCAGTGTGGATATGACTGGAGCACTGTGCCTATGATCCTGCACTGTGTATATGATCCCCCGAACTGTGGATATGACCCCACCACTGTGCCTATGATCCCAGCACGTTGCCTATGATCCCAGCAATGTGGATATGATCCCAGCCTGTGGATATGAACCCAGCAGTGTGGATATGATCCCAGCCTGTGGAAATGATCCCAGCAGTGTGGATATGATCCCAGCCTGTGGATATGATCCCAGCCTGTGGATATGATCCCAGCAGTGTGGATATGATCCCAGCCTGTGGATATGATCCCAGCCTGTGGATATGATCCCAGCCTGTGGATATGATCCCAGCAGTGTGGATATGATCCCAGCCTGTGGATATGATCCCAGCAGTGTGGATATGATCCCAGCCTGTGGATATGATCCCAGCCTGTGGATATGATCCCAGCCTGTGGAAATGATCCCAGCCTGTGGATATGATCCCAGCCTGTGGAAATGATCCCAGCCTGTGGATATGATCCCAGCAGTGTGGATATGATCCCAGCAGTGTGGATATGATCCCAGCCTGTGGATATGATCCCAGCAGTGTGGATATGATCCCAGCCTGTGGAAATGATCCCAGCCTGTGGATATGATCCCAGCCTGTGGAAATGATCCCAGCCTGTGGATATGATCCCAGCAGTGTGGATATGATCCCAGCAGTGTGGATATGATCCCAGCCTGTGGATATGATCCCAGCAGTGTGGATATGATCCCAGCCTGTGGATATGATCCCAGCCTGTGGATATGAACCCAGCAGTGTGGATATGATCCCAGCCTGTGGATATGATCCCAGCAGTGTGGATATGATCCCAGCCTGTGGATATGATCCCAGCCTGTGGATATGATCCCAGCCTGTGGATATGATCCCAGCCTGTGGATATGATCCCAGCAGTGTGGATATGATCCCAGCCTGTGGATATGATCCCAGCCTGTGGATATGATCCCAGCCTGTGGATATGATCCCAGCAGTGTGGATATGATCCCAGCCTGTGGATATGATCCCAGCAGTGTGGATATGATCCCAGCCTGTGGATATGATCCCAGCAGTGTGGAAATGATCCCAGCCTGTGGATATGATCCCAGCAGTGTGGAAATGATCCCAGCAGTGTGGATATGATCCCAGCCTGTGGATATGATCCCAGCCTGTGGATATGATCCCAGCCTGTGGAAATGATCCCAGCCTGTGGATATGATCCCAGCCTGTGGATATGATCCCAGCAGTGTGGAAATGATCCCAGCAGTGTGGATATGATCCCAGCCTGTGGATATGATCCCAGCAGTGTGGATATGATCCCAGCAGTGTGGATATGATCCCAGCCTGTGGATATGATCCCAGCAGTGTGGATATGATCCCAGCAGTGTGGATATGATCCCAGCCTGTAGATATGATCCCAGCAGTGTGGATATGATCCCAGCCTGTGGATATGATCCCAGCCTGTAGATATGATCCCAGCAGTGTGGATATGATCCCAGCCTGTGGATATGATCCCAGCCTGTGGATATGATCCCAGCCGTGTGGAAGCAACAGTAGGTTCCCTGGGGTTTGCTGGTGGTCAGCAAGTGTAGCCAAATTTGTTAACCTCAGGTTGGGTAGAAACCGTGTCTCAAGAACTAAGATGCCGACAAGGAGATCCTTCAGTAAAGGGTAGTTCCTGCCACCAAGGCTAAGTTCAATTCTGGGGCTACACATAGTGGGAAGAGAATCAACGCCATGTTCCCCTCTGACGTCCACACAGGTACTATGACACGCATACCTCTGCCCCGCCCCCACAACACAACTATGACACGCATACCTCTGCCCCGCCCCCACAACACAAATACTAAATGCAACAGTGATACAGACGTTCTTAAAGTAAGATGTGGACAGCCACATACCTGTATGCTGGGATAGAGACTTGTGCCCCACCACCTGGCTAGGGGGGTTAATTTTTTTAATCATTTATTTTTACTTTATATGAATTGGTGTTTTGCCCTCTGTGAGGGTGTTGGGTCCCTGGAACTGGAATCACAGACAGTTGGGAGCTGCCATGTGGGTGCTGGGAACTGAACCCAGGTCCTCTAGAACAACAGTCAGTGCTCTTAACCTCTGAGCCATCTCTCCAGCCCCTAGGAAATTAATTTTAAGTGCTGCTCAGATTTCCTCTTACGGGTTTTATAAACTCATTCTACTAAGAGTGTGGAAGCAGGGGCCACCACAGGATTCTGAATGCACACTGTCACACAACACTGACAGTTATATAATGCCAATTTTTTTTTCAACTGTTTTTAAACAAATTTAAGCCAGGCTTGGTGGTGGGCGCTCAGGAGGCAGAGGCAGGTGGGTCTCTGAGAGTTTGAGGCTAGCCTGAGCTACACAGACATTTCCAGCCCAGCCTTCCTGATCTGCATAGTGAGGAGGGTTGGAGCCTGAAAACGCCAGTATGGAGCCTGCTAACAATAATCAAGGAGAGAAGGCACCTGAAGTTAAGGCAGTGGCCCTGAAAATGTCCATGGAAACAGACGTAGGACAAGAAAATGAACCAAGTCCAGACAGCTGAGTGGAGCGTGGAGGAGAACCGCGAAAGACAAGGCAGGTTCTCAGACCTGAGAGAAGACTCACCAAAGCAAACACTGGGAAAGAAAGGACATGGCAGCAAGGGGATTCCCAACTTAACCCTTGACTAAGGGTGCTGTGAGGTACTCGTGTGAGGTCAGACAGTGAGGTGGGGTGGCAGGAAGGAGGCTCCACTGCACAGGACACTAACCTGTCACTGGGGCCACCAGTCTGGAAGCTGCAATGACAAACTATAAATTATTATTCAAAATATCACCTAGGGACAGGCTCTTATTAAATGCGGATTCCCATATCTGTCTCTCTAATGTCTCTCTGCTCGGTGTCACAAGACTGAAACCAGTATTTTCCTTTCCGGAAAAGGAGGGCGGCATTCCCCCTGATGCGAGTTTGAGGCAGAGTATGGTTCTTGCAGGCGACTGGCAGGACTCAGTTGCAATCTGCGTTGAGTCTGAAGTCCTCAGCTCCTAGATTAGGGCCCCT